TTCAATGTAATATAAAAGAGATTATGATAATAAAATTAAATTTTAAAAAATGACTTAGAGATATTATTCTAGAGAATGACGATGATCAGAGGGTAGAAGGAGTATCTGAAAAATAATTTACTACAAAAGCCAGAAAAAGAAAGAATTTTAAGTAGGAATTGATTAGACAACAGTTTTGACTGTTACTGAGGCTAAGAGAGGCTAGGGAAAAACAGAGTAAAGGCTCATCAAATGCGATACCTGGAAGGTGACCTGGCTATCTGAGTACATAAGAGGCTATAATTGTGTCAGTCTCTGTATGCTTTTTTTTTTTAATAGATTTTTGCTATAGGATGCATGTGCTCAATGGAGAGACATAGACAGAGAGACAGAAATTACTCCCTGGAGGATAGCCATGCCACAATCCCTTCTTTTCCATTCTCCTCTCAGGATTTTGGGCACACATGCACACACACCGGCATGAGTTTTAAGCTGCCAGGTCTGGGACTCGAATCACAGTCAAATATGTGGGAGTCCAGCGACATAACCATTACACCATCCACTGGTCCCAGTCCGTGTATCCTCAACATATCCACAGTAAAAGCATAAAAAATAGTTTATCTGAGAAAAATGTTAAACCTGTTTCCTAACAGCTCTAAGTGTGACCATCTTAAAACGTATATTGTTCATATAGTTATTATGTATTTCACATTCGGGCATTATTTATCTGGTCTGATTAGTCATTAGGTTCATTAAAATAAAATATTTATGCCTATAAAAAAAATCTTCACCATCTAGTCATCACCTTCCCTTCCTCCATGAAGATGAAGTTAATACAGCTTTCCTAGTACCTAAGTGCAGGCAAAGAGATGAGCTTGTTGTTTTCTGGCTTCTGCATGTGGTTACTACATCCATTAGACATACACTTCTGACATGTAACCACTTAAAGATTTTTTTTTGGGGGGGGGTAGTTTTTGTCATAGGGTGTGTGCACTTACTTGCCAGAAAGATGGAGAGACAGAAAGCAAGAAATCACCCCCAGGGGGGATGGCCACGCCACAGTCCCTTCTCCTCTATTCTCTCAGGATCTTGGGCACGCATGCACACGTATCCGGCATGAGTTTGAGCCACTGGGTCTGGGACTCAAACAGCAGCTGACTACATGGAAATCCAGTGATACTGCCATTACACCAACTGCTGGTACCAACCACTTAAAGACTTTTAATGATTACTTGAGGGGCTCAGAAATTATGGAAAGGTCAGAAACCAAAAGAAAACTATTTAATTTTCATTACAGCTATTCAGTATTTAGTTGAACATCACAGACTGAAATAAAATACTGGGTCATCAGGAAAATAATGATGCATTTTTTCATAGAAAAATATGTCATGGCTTTCCCAGTGGCCTAATGGTATAAACTAAAAACACTGTCACAATGCTTGCCACACCTGCTTTAACCATAAACAAATCTTGGGATGAAAGAATATATTCTTTTTTTTTTTTAGAAACATTTTTTTGTAGGGCATGTGTGCTCGCCAGAGAGACATAAAGTCATAAATCACCTGTCCCGGGGCACAGGGAGGGGCATGGCCATGCCACAATCCCTTCTCCTCCCAGGATTTTGGGCACACAGTCACACGTGCCCAGAGTGAGTTTTAAGCCACCAGGTCTGGTACTTGAACCATGGTCAACTACATGGGAGTCCAGTGACGTAACTATTATGCCATCTGCTGGTTCCAGAATATATTCTTTTTCATATATTTATTTTTAATAGTCAAAGGGTACATGTGCTCACCAGAATGGTGGGGTGGAGGAGGAGAAGCACACCTCAGTGTGACAGGTCATGCCATAATCCCTTCTCCTCCATTTTTTCTTCCTTTCAGAACTGTGAGCATGTAAGTGCAGCATGTTTTTCAAGACACAGGGCTGGGGTTTAAACCATAGTCAGCTACATGATATCTAGCTCTCTTAACCTCTAGGATATGTGGTAGGCCAAGAATATCTTCTTTCTTTTTCTTTTAATTTACCAGAAGACTTGTATGCTTGTAAAAGACAGACAGAGAGAGAGGGGAAGAGAACACCCCCAAGGAAGCATGGTATGCCACATTCCCTTTTCCTCCATTTCTTCATCCTGTTGGGCAAGTATGTACATGCATCTGACATGTTTCTCAAGCTGCTGGGTCCATGGGGTTGGTCATGCAGGGTCCAGCTCCCTTAACTCCTAGATCATGGAGCTCACCCCAAGAATATATTCTTAAAGAAAAAAATTAGATAGTGATTTTTATCTATCAGGCCAAGATGAAAAAGTAAAATAATATAAATCTTTTGTAGGGCAGTACAAAAATAGGTAAGTGTCAAAATAGGGCCTACTTTTTGGACTAGCAATTCAAATTCTAAGAATTTACTCTAAATATGTAAATATGTTAATCCTGGATATATCCAAAGATTATCTACAAGGATGTTCCTTAAATAAAAGACCAAAACAAACAAACAAAAACCTAAAAAACCTAAAGACAATTTACTTACCCATCTAGAGGAACTTGGGGACCAGCAGGTGGCACAGAGGTTAAGGTACTGGATCCCACATGGCCCACAGAGTGGTTTGAGTCCTGCACTCAGAGGCCTAAAAAACATGCAGGTATGTGTGCATGTCCGAAATCCCAAGAAAGAATGAAAGAGGAAGGATTACCAAGTGTGTGGGGGAAAGTGATTTCTCACTCTGCGCCCCTTCTCTCTCTGTCCCCCTCCAGTGAGTGCATACACCTTACAGAAAACTAAAGGAAAGAAAAAAGAAATTTGGTTTAAAAAATTCTAGGATATTAGTACAACAGAATATTATGCATATATTACAAATAAATATGCATATCAATATTTCTTGATGAAAATATCCTTTATACATGCATATACACAGGATACTTTTAAAGTTAGGATAAATATATTTCCAAATACAAATTTGGTTTAGGAAATTATGGTTAATTTTAATTTTCTTCTTTATAGTTTTGTATATTATCTCAAAAAAATTAAAGGTTTATAATAATTCTAAAAATATTACACTATGTATATGCTAAGGGAATCATTACTTAATAACATGTCATTAAAGACAAAAATGTTATTTTAATAAGTAATTTTAAAAAGTATATCCTGAAAATATTAACTTAATGATTCAATTAATTATAGCCTATAACTTTATTGGAGGGAGAGAGGAGACAAAATTAAAGTTACAAAAAAGACTTAATAAAGACTACACTGGTCCAACTCCATAGGGCAGTAGTTAAGCACTGTATAGAGGGAACCCAATCCCACATGGTCAACCACGGTTCTGATCCCAGCCCTACTGCTTAAAAAACACACACGGGGTGGGGTGGGGTGGGGGCAGCAGGTGGTGTAGTGGTTGAGACTCTGGACTCCCACATGGCCAACTGCAGTTCAAGTCCCAGACCTAGCAACTTAAAACTCATGCCAGGAGCGTGTGCTTGCGTGCATGTCCAAAATCCCAAGAGGAGACTAGAAAAGAGATTACAGCATGGCCTTACCCCCAGGGAGTGATTTCTCACTTGCTGTCTCTCTGTTCTGTTTCTTCAGCAAACACACATGCCCTATCGCAAAAATCTCTCTCAAAAAAAAAAATTTAAAAACATGCACAGAGGGCACATGCATGTGTGCACAGGATCCTGACAAGATGGAAAAGAAAAAAGGACTGTGGCATGACTGGGTCCTACTAGAAATAGTTGTACATGTGCTCACTGGAGAGACAGAGAGACAGAAAGTGGGAAATTACCCCCAGGACCATGCTGCAATCCTTTTTCTTCCATTCTCCTCTGAGGATCCTGGGCACACAAGCACATGTGCCCGGCATAAGTTTCAAGCTGCCAGGTCCAGGACTCAAGCAGGGGTCGACTATGTGGGAGTCCAGCAACATGGCCATTATGCCATCTGCTGGTCCCCCCAAAAATTTGTAATAAATTATTTAATTCAATTTAATTTAATTATTTACTTACAGTTTGCTACAGAGCATGTGCACTTCCCAGAGAGAGAGAAAAAGTGAGAAATCATGTCACCAGGTTTTGAACTGAACTGTGGTTGCCTGTGGGAGTCCAGCACCTTAACTACCACGCCACCTGCTGACCATCCATTTAGAGCTGATAATAGCATTCTTTATATCATTTTCAAAGTGCAGAAAAGAAACTCACGCTAGGCGCATGTGCGCCCAAGATCCCGAGAGGAGAATGGAGGAGAAGGAATTGCGGCGTGGCCATCTCCCCTGGGGGGTGATTTCTCACTTTCTGTCTCTCTGTCTCTCTCTGTCTGGCTGGAGTGCACGGGCCCTATAGCAAAACCCTCTCCAAAAAAAAAAAAAAAAAGTGCAGGAAAGTGTAAATTTGTAATATTCTAGTTATAATTAATCTAAATGCAAAACAACTGCAATGAAGTCCTCCAGAGAATCCACTGTTAATCAGCACAAAGCATTTATAAGTCAGTATTTTGTTCTAAAACTGTATGAGTAAGAATAACAGCTAATATTTGTTGAATGCCACAGGCCAAACATGGGACACAAAGCACTATACATATCCTATCTCATTTCATCTTCACAGTAAGTCTTGGCAGCAGGTACAACTATGACCTACAATTTACACATACAGAACTGAGGAACAAAGAAGTTAATATACAGCCAATAAGAAATCAAACAAGTCTTTGAAGCCAAGCAGTCTGCCTTTCCAGAATCCATGTGCTATAAGTTTCACCCTAGATTAAGCACTTCAACCGGCCTTTAGCCACACTAATCTCAGCAAGACATGTAAACTTTTAGCTGTGGATTAGAAAAGTTGTATGCAGAAGAAAAAAAAGGAAAGAAAAGAAAAGCTTTATGCAGGACAATAAAACCAAGTAACCCGGTGAATCGTAACCTCACCAAATACCATAACCTGTGGCAGCAAAAGCTGGAAAATGGTTTATTAATACATGGTATCTTTTTAAAAATCTAAATTTCATTTCAAATAACATTCTTACTATAAAATACTCACGAAAGCTTCTAGTAATGCATCTGTTATTATTTGAACCATGTCTTGTGCACTGGTGCCAACTAGCGGCATACTCTCTATTTTTTGTTCTTTGTGTCTGGCAAGCAGCAGGGCTGGAAGAGTTACAGCATATTTATTTGACCTATGGAGAAAAGTAATGTTAAAATTCAGAACCAAAGTGTACCTAGTCATCAAAAACATGTAAAATTAGGCCAGGTAGATACAGAGAGGCAGCAAATGGGAAACTTAACTACAAAAACAAAAAACACTCAATTGCTACACAAACTTTCTATGTGAGGCTGCCTGAGGAAGTTCAGGACCTTTGATAACCTAGATTAAAAGAAAACAATAGAGGGGGCCAGCAGGTGGTAGTTAAAGTGCTGGACTCGCACATGGCCAATTGCGGCTCAAATCCTGATCCTGGTGGCTCGCTCTCTCTCTCTCTCTCTCTCTCTCTCTGCCTCTCTCTGGTGAGTACGCATGCCCTATAGCAAATTACAAAATAATAATAAATAAAATTAAATAAATCTTTTTTTAAAAAGAAAATAATAGATAATCTAGCCAGATTTTTTTCTATACAAGTGTCTCACTGAGAAAATGTCTAAATAAGCTTTATTTTTTTTTTTTTGAGAGGTTTTCACTATAGGGCGCATGCGCTCGCCAGACAGACAGAGACAGAGAGACAGAAAGCGAGAAATCACCCCCCCCAGGGGGGATGGTCACGCCGCAATCCTTTCTCCTCCATCCTCCTCTCAGGATCTTGGGCACGCATGCACATGCGCCTGGCGTGAGTTCTAAGCCACTGGGTCCAGGATGCGAACCGCGGTCAACTACGTGGGAATCCAGCGACATAGCCATTACGCTAACTGCTGGTTCCCCTAAATAAGCTGTAGAACACACTTAATGGTTCTCAGCCTTTGTAGAGTGCTCACTACACTGTCAGGTAAGAGATGGGCATCTATGGGAAACCTATTATCTGCCAGGTACTCTATTCGGTGTTTTCATAGACTACCCCTTTAATGTAGCCACTATCACTCTATTCTTCAGATGTGAAAAGAGGATTCAAATGAGGTGCTCCAGACATAGAGTCTGTCCTCTCTCCAGTGAAACAAGAACTCAAATCCACACTAACCACAATGACTTTTACTATCTGAACCTAAAAGAAAATTCTCTAAATTAAATAGAAGAAATGCTTCATGTGAGCTTACCAGTGAGGCACTCATCTTTACATCATGTGTAAAAACTTAAATCATACCAGAACAAAGTATAGGCATCACAATATTATAAGCATAGTAGGGAGTCTTTAATAACTTAAAGACTCTTGGTTGACCAGTTGGTTATAAACAAAACACGCTCTGAAGACTACTAGTCTGGCTCTTCAGATCATACTTGAATGCATAATGATAGCAGAATAGAAGATAGTGGGTGATTTATTTTCCATGAGACAGATGTATAGGTCTCATATTTCCGGGTTCAGTATTTACATTTAAAAAATAACTGATTTCACAGATAGTACAAACACTAATCATCAATAACATATGTCACCAATGTTCAAAAAAAAATTAAGCTCAGAAGTCACAATTAGGAACATTATACTCAGAGTGTAAGAAAGACCAGCTACTGAGGCTTAACAAAGTCCATTTGACCTGAAATGAGCCATTAAAGTAGAACGTGATAGGTATTAATCACAATGTCTAACTCTGAAGTTCAGTGCTTCATTCTGCATCGATTAAAATATTTTAGTAGTCCACAGAAGTCCCATCTTCTACAGACAAAAAAGTGGTTTAAAAAAGTATTGTGTGTGTGTTTGTACGTCTGTGTTTGTGTGTGTATATATATGTGTATGTAAATATATGTATATGTATATAAACATATACATATACATACACATACCTTGGGGGTAAATAAAAATTCACATGCCTAAGAAGTAAAATTCTCCAAAAACTATGACAACTCCAAAGAACCAAAATTTCACGTAATAGAATGCAAAGAGAAAAGTTTTACAAGACGATGAAGAAGTATAAATACAAGAATGCCCCTGTGGGAGCTTTGACCTAGAGTAGAACAAAATCATCTAAGACTCTAAATAGCCTGGTACTTCTCAATTTCTCCTAGAAAGAAATTAAAATTTATTTTTGTTGCTCTATCTTCCTTTATAAGTTATGTAAAGAGAAACAATACATTATTTCAAACAACTACCTCCCTAAAATTAGAAGAGCAATAAACTTACAGTATCAAAACATCATCTTCAGAATAAATTCCAGTGAGAACATATCCTTGTAGGTAGCTTCCTGCTTCAGTGAAATCTTCTTTTGCTAAATACATAGCCAAAACAAATATATGAAATCTTTACGATTATAGGTGCTACTCATTTGATAAATAGATTTATAAATTGTAGTACTGAATTATTAATTACAAAGATAAATATAAGTGCAAACACCTACAAATAACTTAGTGACTCTAAAATAAATCAGTGTCCTTTTTGTGGCATTAGGTTACTAAAGAAATATAAATTGATATTATACAACTATTGTTTCCTAAACAGATACTATAAACTTAATTTGTAAGATTAACAGCACTCTAATCACGGAGTTACAGAATAAATCAATATTCTTAAGGCAGTATAAGTGGAGACACCTGCTCTGTACATAACCTGGAAAGAGAAGCAAGAATGTGAAAATGATATACATATTATTAATCACAAAATCTAAAAGTATGTATATATATTTTTTAAAAAGAAAAAGAAAATTGAAAATTTTAGTCCTCAGGGACCAGCAGTTGGTGTAATAGCTTTGTCATTGGACTCCCATGTAGTTGACTGTGGTTCAAGTCTCAGGTGGTGGCGGTGGTGGTGAGGGAGTGGGGGGGGGTGATTTCTTGCTTTCTGTCTCTATGTCCCTCTCTGTCTTTCTGGCAAGTGCATGGCCCTATAGCAAAAACCTTTCAAAAAGAAAAAAATTTAGTCCTCTAATAGTGTCTGTTAAGGCTGTGCAGTGATGTAGGATTTGGGTCTTATTTTTTTAATTTCCTACATCTTTTATAATGTATTTTTGTTAATTTTGAGCTTTGATTAGTTTGGGGATCAGGGGTTTTTTCCTCATTTGTTTGGACACATATCTACAGTAAAAATTATTATTTCTGTATATGTCTAAATATGTTTTCATAAGCATAAGTAATAACATATTCTGAATCATATTAATGACTATCTTTAGCCAAGAAGCACATTTGAATTACATCATTGCAAACTAATGAGAAAAGAGCTAAGGTAGACTTACAGGTAAATGATGTATTTTTGCCCAGTGAAGGCCAAATGATAACACAGCTCCATGCATAGAAAGATTCACAGAAATTTAAACAGAAAAACATTACTGGAAGAACTGAGTCATAAAGCACCTAGTAGGTTGGCATGCTAAACCCAAAAATCTGTACGTTAGCAGTCAGCACTACATTCATGTGAGTATCAGCACTGTCAGCATCAAGTAACCACAAAATTACTTTCTTTTTTTTTAAGAGAGAGATCTTTGCTATAAGGTGCGTGCACTTGCCAGAGAGAGATAGAAAGCAAGAAATCACCCCCTGGGGGGGATGGCCACCCTGCAATCCCTTCTCCTCCATTCTCCTCTCAGGATTTGGGGCACGCATGCATATGCGCCCATCATGAGTTTCAAGCCACCGTCAGGGACTCAAATTGGTCGACTAAGTGGGAATCTAGCAATGTAACCATTATGCCATCTGCTGATCCCCAAAATTACAGTTCTTTAAAAAGATACATACTGTCCACAAGATAGAGGAGCACTGTATACAGGAAAGCAAACGTAGCAGGGCAGCTCAGTCAGCCAATAGGCAGCCCTGGGAATTTGTTTATAATCATAAATGTAATGAGGAATTAGTGACCCATTAAAATATTTGGCCTGGGGGCCAGCAGTGGTGTAGTGATTAAGGCTGGACTTACACATGGCCAAATGTGGTTTGAGTCCCAGACCCAGAGGCATGAAATTCCCACCAGGTGCATGTATGTGCATGCCCAAAATCCCAAGAGGAGAACAGAGAAGTGACTATGGCGTGGCCACCCCCCTCCCAGGGGGTGATTTCTCACTTTCTCTACCTCTCCAAGTGAGCACACATGCCCTTTAGGAAAAATAAAACTCTCTTTTTCTTTTCTTTGTAGAGGTTTTTGTCTTAGGGCAGATGCACTTGCCAGAGAGAGAGAGACAGAGACAGTGAGAGGGAAAGTGAGAAATCACCCCCCAGCGAGGATGGCCATGCCACAACCCCTTCCCCTCCATTCTCCTTCCAGGATCTTGGGTACATATGCACATATGCCTGGCATGAATTTCAAGCCACCAGGTCCAGGACTAGAACCACAATTGGACATGTGGGAGTCCAGTAACATAACTGCTACGCCATCCCTGGTCCCCTCAAAAATAAATAAAAATATTTAGCCTTTGTTGTAGCAAAGTGGAAAAGACTCATAAGAAAACTAAGCTACTTGAACCAAATGCCTACATTTTCATTTCTCAGAGAAAGTAGGTAAATTCTGGTCAATAAGTGATCTTTATCTAAAGCAATGACACAATGAACCCTTGTAGTTTCTTCTTTCCTTTTTTGATAGGTAACAGTGGAAAAATACACTGAGATTCAACCTCTCTACTTATCAATGTATCTCTTAAAAGTCTCTTCATAAATTTACTTGTTCATAAACATTAAGTGACTTGTCAGATAGGAGGGCTTCAGACGACAGCCCTCAGATGCATACCTATTTCTACTAAATCAGAGTATACATTTTCCTTAGAATATTCAAAATCAGATATATTCTTCTCCTTGGTGAAAACTATATGTATGTCAAAATATATGACAATCTCAAGGAAATGCTCAGTTATCTAAATAAAAGCTACTTAAAAAGGATTTTGGGGGGTACCATAAATATAACTGGGAGACAGATATAAATAGTGTCCTACAAATGTAGGAGTTAAATAATTTTAACTGCATACACAGGAGAAATATATTTATTTAGCAATGTTGATTTTTCCACTATCACATCATACTGAATAATTTTATGTATACACACTCTTATATATATGCATCTACTCATTAATTCTGTCAGCAGATAGTTGAAAAGCAAGAATATCCCAGTAATTAAAAGCATTTCTAACCCACTATCTTGGTTTCCAAATTTATCTTCCCACTGAAAGGAACCTGAATGCCTTGGAGAAATGTCTGATATGAGGAACAAGGCTGGGAACTCTTGTGCCAAAAAGGACATATTCAAAGAATGACAGAGATAGGGACCAGCAGATGGTGTAATGAATACAATGCTGGACTCCCACGAACTCGACTACAGTTCAAGTCCCAGACCCAGTGGCTTAAAACTCACGCAATACATCCCTGAAATCTTGAGAGGAGAATGGAGGAGAAAGGACTGCAGTGTGGCCATCCCTACCACCTCCTCGGTGGGGGGAGGGTGATTTCTTGCTTTCTATTTCTGTCTCTCAGGCAAGCTCAAAAAAATTAAAAAATAAGATGATAGAGATATATCAAAAGAACATAGGAGTAAAATTAAAGGGGCTCCCACTGAGAAGAGAAAGCTCTGTCTTAAAGTAATGTAACAACTAATAAATGTAAAGGAATAATGGAGTTAAAAAATTTCTATTTGGGGCCAGAGAGTGCAAGTGAATAACTAGATAATAATTTTTATTTTTCTTCTAACTTCTCTGTATTTTCAAAATTTTCTATGATTTAAAAAGATAGTCTCTTCTTTAAGAAAAATAAAACAATTAGTAAGCAATGACTGTTTAACAATATACTATATAATTTAATAGCTCAATTCTACTCACCTGATGCCATGGTTGGACTAAATAGTCCCAGTACTGACACATTAGAATAGGAAATCAAGTCTTTATATAATTCCCCACTTAAATACTCTTCTGCTTCTCGGATGGATGTTAGGTTCACTGGACACGAAACCCTATTGCTAGATAAATATTAACAATGATTCGAAATTAATTTTTAAAGATCTCTTTCAGTTTATAAAGAAACAAAACATACTAAACTTAACCAGCAATATATTACACAGAATATCAGATAAAGACAATTAAATATTATTCTTAAAAAGATTAGCCGCATTAAACAAGGTTACTATTTCCCCAAAAGTGACAGAATGTGCATAGACTCTCCTTATAAATATTTATTCTGTGAACTCAATTCTAGTATCTTCCCTAACCTATTCAAAGTATGTCCACGAAGTACGAGTATCAGAACTTCTACATACCTAAAAATTTAGAAATCCTATAGTGAAGCTAAATACTTACAGCTGGATGAAGTTTAGAAGATCCTCAGTTCCTAACATGCCAGCATAAGATAATGGGCTCTTGCCTTTCTTGTACATCTTTACAACAGGAAATTCAGTAACATTTTGCTTCGTACATACATCAGACCAATCTGCACAGTTTATTCTAGTTAGAAGCATACTGGATATGCCTTAAAGGAAGGAAAACGCATATTTTAATAATTATTAATGTAGAATCCTCATTTACTTAGGGTTTCTCAATTTTCTATTCCACTCATTTTAACCTCTCAGCATGAAACACTCCTTAAACACTCTCTTCCCTTTGATTTTTGCAACACCTTCTATTGGCCTTTTTCCATTTCTCCAGCTTCTTCTTGGTATCATTTTGTTCAAGCTTTTCTGCCAGGGAAGCTGGGAGGTTTTCAAGGCTCATTTTAAGTTGCCCTCTCTTCTTGCTCCATACTCTCTTCCTAGACAACCTCAATAACCATCAACAATCCAATGAGTGCTAAATTTATATCTTTGGCCTAGACTCCTCAGTGAAGTTCCAGATTCTTGTATCCTTACTGCCTTCTCTGCTTCCTTTTAGATGAACGCATCCTCAGATTTACTATATCTAAAAACAAATGCAGTTTCCTTCCTTTATGTATTGGTAAATGTTGCCCTTCTTATGCAACTCAGAAAACAAAGCATCGTGTTTCATTTTTCCCCATTCTCAAGCTCCCATGTCTAATCAATCAGCATGCCTTTTCTGCCTGACCACCAAAATTTTAAATCTCTCTAATCATTGTCCTTCTCTTTATTGCTGTTATTCAAGTCAATATTCTCCTGGAAAACAACAGACTTCTAATTTACCTCCCTGAATTTGATTGTCTCCACACTAACATTAGACATAGCTTTCCAAAGCTTAAATGTGTTTTGGTACCAGTCAACCCCTATCAACCTTTACAGAGTTAGGTCCTTCTCATCTTCTGGGACTAATTCAAGGAAGCCTTCTCTGACACCTTGATCTATATCAGGACCTTTTGACAAGCACTCTGATAGCAGGGGTCCCAACTCCTCATATTGGTCAAGGGCCTGTTACGAATCAGCTGCACATTAGAAGTTGAACAGGTAAAGTGAAGCAAGTGAAGCTTCATCTGCATTTACAGCAGCTCCCCATATCTTGCAATAATGTCTGAGCTCCAACTTCTGCCTGATGAACTGTAGTGTTAGATTCTCATAGGAATGCAAATCCTACTGTGAACTACACATGTAAGGGATCTAGGTTGCATGCTCCTTATGAGAATCTAATGTCTGATGACCTGAGGTGGAGCTGAGGCAGTGTGCTAGTGCTGGGGAAGCAGCTGATGCATTTAATATAATTATTCCATCATTATTTCATCACATATTACAATGTAATAATAATAGAAATAAAGTGCACAATAAATGTAAAGAGTTGGAATCATTCCAAAATCATCCCCCTGATCCTGGCCAGTGGGAAAACTCTTCCACGAGACTGGTCCCTGGTACCAAAAAGGTTGGGGACCACTGTCTTACAGAACTAAGCTCCTTTCCTTATCTTCTTATATAATTATGTACTAATTTGTGTAATAATCTGATTAATGTTTGTCTATACCAAGAGGACTCCTTGAGAGCAGGAACTGTGTCTGTTTTACTCAACATTGATTTTCCAGCACCTAGATGAAGCACCATAAATAGACATGTGAATAAATCATACATATGAATTCATCTAGGATTTCAAGTACCCATTCCATCTAAATATTTTAATTTCTTTTCAGCCTAAGAAAATGCTGAATCCACAATAGAATATGCTGGAAGACACAACAGAAATTCTTACTTTTTCTATAATACAATATGTAAACCTTTAGACAGAAAGAAAGAAAGAAAGAAAGAAAGAAAGAAAGAAAGAAAGAAAGAAAAACCGAATAAAATAAGCAAACACAACTCAGCTACTGAAAGGAAGAAATAAAACTCCTATAAAAAAAACTTTAATAGCATATGAGATCAAAGAAGGCATCTTTGTATATCAGTTTTGGATACAGTTCAAATATAATCTACCCCTATGATTGATTATGAAATGTAATATTTGAATATTTTATCACCAAAAAATTTTGATACTGAAAATTTACTTTTACATTTTAAAAGATCTTGATTCTATCTCATAAATACAATAATATCACTTTGGTGTTAACAATCTGTTTGATAATATAGGCAGGGTCTTATTCACAACTATGTAATTACTGCCTGGCACAATGCCTGTAACATAGGATGAACCCAACAAAAACATGTAGGATGTATTCTGATATTTCTTCATAAACAAATTTTAGTATTTTACATTAAGGTATTTAAATATTGTAAGAGCACAAAAACAAAGATAAATCCCTAATCCTTAGAAAATCAGACCTGGTAAGTAACTTCTCTACAAAATTCTTTTTTCTTTTTAAGTCATTTCATCAATAAATACTGGGTTGTTGGAAAAGTCATGATCTGTTTTCCTGTATTGTTCTATGCAAATAAGCATCATAACTTTTCCAATATGTAGTGATGCTTGCTCATACAGAGTGCCATTTTATACTGCCACCCAAGTATGGAACTTAGTGCTAATACAGAGCAATTCTTTCCTTTTAATAAGACTACTCAACCAGTCTACTGCTTTTAAAATGCTATTATTACTTTGTCCCTATAGCTGAAATTGAAAACTTTGATGTTATCTTTTAGAACCAGAAAAATAATACTGATACTTGTCATTAAAAGTTGTAAGATTACTTATACTGAAGTTATCAATTTCGCATTTTATTCTCTATAAAATGGCCTCAATAGTTACTCATATTTTGATTGGAATAATCTAATATTCTAAGATGCCTATGGTATTATATCACTTACACTTTATCACTGCAGTGATTTCAAATATGGTTCCTAACTTAAAGAAAAAAAAAATAGACTCTTTTGGATTTAGATACTATGTAAGTATGAAACTTTGACATTTGCTGCCACCTTGTGACTGAGTAAAAAATACTTTTTATCATCTTAGATTAAGAGATGAAAATGGCTTTTTCCCAAAAAGTCAACATGAAAGACATGTATGAGACAAAATGTACAAAATATTACAATATTTTCTTAATTTATGAAGTTATAGTATAGGCTTCAACACAGACACAAAAAAGTCACTAACTATAATTGGTCTGAGAAGTACTTCACGATGGGCAAAGTATTTTTACAAGCAAAATGAGAAATAGTGATTGACTGTTTTAAAAAATAATTAGAATAATAATAATACTGATTGGGGAAAAGACAGAAAAGATATTGAATGTTGAAGCGGGGAGATTAATGTCTCTGTATTGACTGACATGCATGGCATTCCCTTTTGAAAAAGCAATGTAATACACTGTAAAGTTCTATGTAATCCAATGTAATATAAAGAAGATTATGATGATAATTTAAAAAATGAAAAAAATATTAATATATATTTCAAAATAGCTAGTAGAGAGGATTTTTAATGTTTTTACCACAAAGAAATGACAAATGACTGAGATGATGAATATGTTAGTTACTTTGATAATTACAAAATAAACATATCAAAGCCTCAAAAAAAAAAACCACTATATTACAATTCTACATTAAGTCCCTGACTTCCAAAATAGCCCATTTATCTGATACCTAACTACTAAAAAATTATTTATAAAGGACATATTGAATGAAAAGGAAATCAAGGCCTGAGTTAGTTATCTTTGTTTTTATTCTATAAACAAATACAACTTGGAGCCCTTGTATTGAGGGAAGAGCAGGCCTCATTATTTGGTCATTAACATGGGAAAAGGTAAGAGAATCTTTTTCCATTTTCATCTGATGTCTAACTAAGTGGGTTGGAGGAATTGGAGTAAACTAATCCAATTATTCAGGGACACTATGCAGTTATTATTTCATTATAGTTTTTCTTTTTTCTCCTCCTTTCCTTCTAATTATGTGCTCATAAGACTAGGAATCTAAAGAAAGATTGCAGCTATAAAGGAAAATCTGAAAGAAAGTTATAGAATTTTTTTTTTTTTAATTATTAGAAATCTGGGCCAGCCAGCGGTATGGTAATTAAGATGGCTGAATCCTGCATAGTCAGCTGAGCAGTTCAAGCCCTGGACGCAGTCACTTAAAAAAATCACACCAGGCACGTGTGCGTGCATGCCCCAAATCCCAAGATGAGAATGAAGGAAAAGGGACTGGAACGTGGCCATCTCCCCAGGGAATGATTTCTTTCTCTCTCTCTGGCAAATACATATACCCTATAGCAAAAATTGAAGAAAAAAATAGTAGGGATCATGGTATCCATAAACTTAATTACCCCTTCACTCAGTAATAAAATAACCAAAAGTTGGGTCAAATGTGACTAAAAATAAAAGGAATGATGGATTTTGTGTTACTCTTCAGTTTCTGGAATCAATTTCTTGAGCTCACAAAAGTCCACGATGTAGGGGAACCAGCAGTTAGCGTAATGGCTATGTCGCTGGACTCCCACGTAGTCGACCACGGTTTGTGTCCGGGACCCGGTGGCTTAAAACTCACGCAGGGCGCGTGTGCGTACGTGCCCAAGATCCTGAGAGGAGAATGGAGGAGAAGGGATTGTGGCGTGACCATCCCCCTGGGGGGTGATTTCTCACTTTCTCTCTCTATGTTTCTCTCTGTCTGTCTGGCGAGCGCACGCGCCCTATAGCAAAAAACCTCTCCAAAAAAAAAAAGTCCACGATGTATACAAAAGCTGTACATCACTACATCTATTTCACTAAATACGGTGAAAAGATAATATTTCCAAAAGTGTATGTCAGTTTATTCATGTATTCAACAATTACTAAAAATCAGGTATTTTTCAGTGTGAGGCAATATGCCAAGTACAGTGAGTTGGTTATAAGGGATACTGCTGATCCATACAGAATTCACAAAGTAATAAAAGAGCCTGTGAACTAGTGCCCCCCAGAACTTACAGTGGATACATTCCCACAGTCAGGAATAAGCCTACTTAACCGTAATAGCTTCTATTTCCAGGCAAACAGTTGGAAGAAATCATACGACAAACCATGACACAATTTGTCTTACTCAACTGGTTGCAAAATATTATACACGCCTAATCCTAGTCCACCTAATCCTGCGTCCCTACTGCTCTGTAAATCATTGCTGGGAAGATAGACATTTTGAGTTAAGGTCTATTCCTTGGATTTTTATTTGCCTACTATTGGATCATGTTTCACAGAATAGTTAAAATAAAAAGATCCTGGCTATGAAGCAATATCTTGGTCCATTAGAAGCTAACTATATAGCTTCAAGAACACATAGATTGTAGGCTGGTTCCATGGCCTCAGGCAGCTAAATTCCACATGGCCAATCACACAGTTCAAATCCCTTCCTGGCACCTTGAAAGACATACCAGGCACATGTGCATGCACACCCAAAATTCCAACAGGATAGAGAAACAGGAGAAAGGATTGTAGCATGACTATGCCTCATCTCCTTTCTCTACCCCTCTCTTTCTCTCTGAGAAGTGCATGTGCCCTTTGGCAAATTAAAAAAAAAAAAAAAGAACACTGGGATTTTGATCTTTCATTAGACTGTGTGACTGGATCTTAATCAGTCAAATTTTTACCACCAGTATGTAATAGTAATTACACAGACTAGGCACTCAGTAAATGCTTGCTGAATGACCAAAGTTAGCTAGACAGGTTTTGGACTAACTGTGTAGTCACAAATACTTAATAAATAGGTTCTCTGCTTTCTACTGAAAACAGTCCCAAAAAGACAATCCAAGAGAATGCTTCCAAGCATTTTTGAAACTCTGGGTTCATATTAAGCTTGGATACAGACTATAATAATCTGAAATTTATGTGGTTTTCCACATCTTTAGCATGGCATAGTTTTACAAATAGCTACAGCTTAGAATCAGGAAAATAAGCATGCACACCACAATACAATACCTTTCAATTTAACTGCCACATCAATATAGGATTGCAGAAATGCCATGGATACAGCTTGCCCTACATTAAAATAAAAAATTCAACAGATGTTACATATGTATCTCCAAGGCAAATATGCTTATATATAATAACTATTAGATTTATGGAGTTTCCTAAAATTGTTATTTTTGACAAAAAAAAATCCTAATATACAGTCCTCAGTATAGTTCAAATATGCAACTAATTTTCTACATTTATTCTGCAAGGATAAGTGGCTATTATTTGAAGATAGAAGCACTTATATTTACTATAAATAGATAAGAACTGTTCATATAGTTTAAATCATTAGCTTGAATCACAAAGTTTTTCAAAATGAATTAACTAATATCTACTTTAATCATTAACCTTCAATTTATAAATCATGTATAGACAGTTTTATAACCCCCAAATCAGAAGTAAATGCATCAATGCACTCACCTACTTGAGTCACAGGAAGCTATGTAGCTTTTTAATATGCAATATTGAGTACAAAATAAATTCTGTCTATTTTCAATGTCCCAATATATAATACAAGTAGACTCCACTGAAGGCTCATACTCACAACCAGCATAGAAGAGCACTATGCTGTCAGATGCCATTACTGTTGCATTAAATGTGTCTTCTGTTAGTTCCACTGTCAGTTCCAAAGGTAATTGTCTCTTCCTGTCTCTGTAAACAGTTTCTGCCACTTCATCATCTTGGATATCTAAAATGTTTGAAAAGAAATTAATTTAATATAGAATATTGGAACCAGCAGTTAGCCTAATGGCTATGTCGCTGGACTACCACGTAGTCGACCGCAGTTCGTGTCCCGGACCCGGTGGCTTAAAACTCACGCCAGGCACGTGTATGTGCGTGCCCAAGATCCCGAGAGGAGAATGGAGGAGAAGGGATTGTGGCAGGGCCAGCCCCTCTGGGGGGGCTGATTTCTCACTTTCTGTCTCTCTGTCTCTCTCTGTCTGTCTGGCGAGCACACGCGCCCTATAGTAAAACCCCTCAAAAAAAAAAAAAGAATATAGATGTATAATTTTAAAATTTTAAGCGCTTCTCATAAGCATATAATAATTTGGCACTTTATAAAACTTTTGAATGTCTACTATCCTAACAGATGAAATGCACGATATTTAGAAAACTTTCCAGTTGCCTTGTTTTTTTCTTTCCTTTTTTTTTTTTTTTAATTTCCAGAGGACACAAATACCCACCTGAGAAAGAATGAGTCAAAGCAACTCCCAATGGGCAGCGTCACAGTCCATTTCTCCTTCCTGTCACAACTTTGGGCATGCACACGCACATGTCCACTGTGTTTCTCAAGCCAGAGTCTGGGATTTGAACTGTTGTCAGCCATATGGGATCCGGTTCCCAAAACACAGCACTTAACCACTGCACTATGGGGCCAGCATCCTGGTTTCCTATCTAAAATGACTCTGAGATGCTTTTTGACTCAGAAATCATGAAGTTTTCATCAATTCAGGAATTATTTTAATAGTACTACACATATAACATGATGAGTACTATTTTGTCTCTCATAAATATATTTATATGTAATCTAAAAAGGCCCTACTATACATATTTGATGGTGTTTATTTAGTGTCTACAATTATGCCAAGCATTTGATAGACATTAGGGAAAGTGGAAACAAAACAGATGTAGTCCCTAACAAATGGAACTTCTCTTTTGGAAAAGTCAGACAATAAATTGATCACAAAATAAATATGTAATTATAAATTATTATTGGTTTATGAAGAAAAGGTAAAAGTTATAATTAGAGACTGTAACAGGAAGATTTAAGTTAGGAAAGTCAAAGACTGCCAGGTAAAGAATCAAGAAAATAATGTGTTAAAAAGAGTCGTACACACAAAGACATAAGAGAGTTAGCATATACTGGTACTGAGAGAAAGCAAATTTGACTAAAACAATATGGAGTTGAAGGAATAAATGGCATAAGAAAACTCTAGGCTAGGCAGTGGTTGGATGGTAGATGGCCATATAAACTAATAACTCTAGATTTTATCCTATGTGTGTATCAAGTTATGAGTGGATTCTGAATTTGTAAAAACCTTTATCTACTTTAGATAGATCAATCAATAGATCCATCCATTTTTCCATGTATGCGGTAGAAACATATTTTGAATTTATAATATTTTGTTGGACATTTTTAAACTGTATGGTTTAAAATTTTTTAAATTAAAAAAAAAAAAGGAGCATCTAGGTCAGCCAGTGGTAGGTGGTAGTTATGCAGGTGAATCCTATGTGGCCAACTGAGTGGTCAGGTCCTAGACCTGAGGGCTTGAAAAACATGCCAGACACATGTGCATATGCACCCAAAACCCTTAGTGGAGAAGGGATTGTAGCGTTGCCATCCCCCTGGGGGTGATTTCTCACTCTTTCTCTCTCCTTCTAGAGAGCGTATACACCCTACAGTAAAAACTACAAGAAAAAAAAAGCATATAACTTGAATAAAGATACAATTAGGGCTCACAGAAGTTGAAACTAATTGAGAATTTAAAATAAAACTTAAGCAGGAAAAGAATAGAGGCAATGAAGGCATACAGAGCAAAGGAAACATGGCATGAGCAAAGGCACAGTGGCCTGAAAGAGCGCAATGCAGCTGGAAATGTAAACACTGGTAATATTACGGATTACTGGTAATTCTTTAGATAAATAATATTGTGTCCATTTTTAAAATAAGGACCATATTTCTGAAGTACACAGGGAAATATTTATAAACGTGTATGTTTGGAATTGGTTACAAAATAATGATAGAGAGTGGCTGGAGCAGGATTAGCTATAGCTGACAATGGTTATGGCCAAGTAATGGCCACCAGGAGGTTCATTCTATTATCCTACCTACCTCATGGTATTTTTGTAATTCCCTATAATGGCACAGTAAACAGAAACAAAGGAAGGAAGACAAGGCATTCAGAGAACTAAAATACTGTTTTCCATATAATTTCTAACACCATAAAACAAAATTCTAGATCTTCAAGTTAGAACCATACCATCCATTTTCTAACTCCAGTCAGTCTCCTAACTCTCTTGGCATCAATTTCAATTTTGTGTAACATGAGAGCTGCACTACATTAAGGTACTTTTTAAAAAAGAACTACTTATTCATTTATTTAAATCCATTTGTTATCATTTCTTTTTTTTAATTTGACTGGAGAGAGAGAAAAGGGAAAGCGAGAAAGCAAGCCACCAGGTCCAGGACTCGAACCATGGTCAGTCATGTGGGAATCCAGTGCCTTTAACCACCACACCACCTATCAGCCCCACATTAAGGTACTTTTAAACATTACATTCTTTCTTTTTTGGGGGGTGGAGGGTAGAGGTTTTTTGCTATAGGGTGCATGTGCTCGCAAGAAAGAGAGACAGAAAGCGAGAAATCAACCTCCCCCCCGCCACCAGGGAGGGGATGGCCATGCCACAATCCCTTTTCCCCGTTCTCCTCTCGGGATCTTGGCCACACACGCACATGCGCCTGGTGTGAGTTTAAGCCTCCAGGACTCAAACCGCAGTCGACTACATGGGAATCCAGTGACATAACCATTACGCCAACTGCTGGCCCCACTTTTAAACATTACATTCTATGACACTAAAAAGTTACACCTTCATTACCAAAATTAGCAAAGGCCTATTTTAAAATTTATTGTATAGGGTTTTGTTAATTCATATATTTTCATCTTTCTGACAATCTTTCCTTATTTTCCAATTTATCTTTGTTTCTTTTATTTTGTTCCACCATCTCCTTTTTATCTTTCCTATAACCTGTTAATAAACTACCACAATGGTAAATCTAATCACTCCTCAGTTTTCTCTCTCTCACTTATTCAACAATACATAGGGTTTATTTTTTAGTTATACTATTTTCTTTACTTTTCTTGTCATTTGTTCATGTTGTCCTTTTGCAGAATCTAGTCCTTTTCATTCTGATTCATGCTTGTCCACTTCTTATGTAGGATACTTGTTTCTGAGATAGTAACTAATTCTTTCCTAACCCTCTTAATTTTCCAATGCAAATGGGAAAGATACAAAAGGAGGAAGGTTATGTGTGGGTGTGAAATGACACAGTGTTACAGGTCAATATGGATTATAGATAACAGGAGTTTAAGATGAAACAAACAAACAAAAAAGGCAAAGCTGCAAAAGAAATACTGGAAACAGTCCAGAGAGAGGACAGGTAGAGAGAAGAGAGCACAGAGGACAAACTAAGGCCAGAGAGTCCAGAAGTGATATAAGGAGCGAGGCCATAAGGAGATCTTAAAATGGGCAACTCCTGCTAAGGACAGGAATCTGATTACACTGAGACTGGGTCAAATCCCCTGACTATGAAGGCTGGAACACATGAACCATAACAGGAATAAAGTAGGGGGCAAGACCAGAATCCAGGTCATGTAGGTCACAACAGTACTGTGGAGAACTCTGGTGAGGGACACAAGCAATTCTCCTCCCTGACTATCAGAAAAGAATGAACTCCACTCAAACCAAGAAACTAGTTGCTGGGAGCAGTTAAAGCTCTTATTAAATTTGTAAGATCTAGGTTGATCATAGAAACAAATGGACCACATGGAAAGAAAACATAAATTGCTTCTTTCTTAGAGCTCATGATAGTGCTATTACATAAAACATTCAAACATTTACTGCATGGGGATTTCAACCACCGAAAGTTCACCCACTTGCTCCCCAGTTCTAGCTTTTTGTCTCTAATTCTTACCTTTCCCTCTGTCCCCATAGGACAAGTCAATCAGTAGCCATCTATCTATATTTGAGTTCTGGGCTGCCCCATTCACATGGCATGCTAGCACGTCGTGTGGTTTTTATTTTTTGACAAAAAATCTTTTTCTTCTCTTTTTGTTTTTTTTTTCTCTTCTTTTCTTTTCTTTTCTGTTCCTTTTCCTTTTCTTTTACCTTTCTAACTTTTCTGCTCAGCCTCCACACACTAATTTTCTAGATAGGTCTAAGTACTCAGCAGCCAAATTTCTGAATTCTTTTGGGTCAGACTGATCACCAATTTTCAATGAATCAGCTGTACAAAGGGAGAAAAACGGCACTGTTTATCAACTGTGGGTCACCTTTTTCTGCATTCCTCTAAATGCTCAGATTTAACTCAAAAAAATAGGAACCACTAAAGAGGCACAAGAAATATGAAAAACCAAGAAAATATCTCTCCCCTAATGGAAAAGAATAACTCCTCTTCCTCCACAATGACTACAAGGGAACTCATGGAAATGTCAGATAAATAATTTAAAATATTCATAGTGACAAAACTAAAAGAGATGCAAGAGAATAAAGACAACTAACTCCAGAAGATGTATGAGAAAAGATATACCGAGTTCCAGGAGGTGAGGAAGTTCTTGCACAATCTGAAAGAGGAGATACACATCATAAAAAAGAATCAAATGGAATTGTTAGAGATGAAGGCTGTAATAAAGGAAATCAAAACCTCCCTCGAAAGTATTAAAATCAGATTAAATCATGCAGATCAAATCTCAGATGTAGAAGACAGAACCTCTGACCTAGAAAAATTCACCAAAAAGACTAAGAATCAAAAAAAATGAAAATAACACACAATACTAGATACCATTAAACAGCCAAATATCCAGATCATCGGTATCCCAGAAGGTGAAGAAACTAATATGGGCATTAATAATCTATTCCATGAAATCCTGGAAGAAAACTTTCTAAGCCTAGAGAGACACTCAAATATCC